ATACTTCACACACACAACACACACACCACACACACACACACACTGGACTTATGTGTTGTGTTGTATTGTGTTGTGTTGTGTGCGTTTGTCAAACCCAACACAGACGAGTCCCTGCACAAGACGAGTCTTTTAAGAGTTTCTCTGGGGTGTGTGAGTGTGTGGGGAGGGGGTGGGTGGAGGGGTGGGGGGGGAGAATCTTCCTTTCCTCCATTCCTGAAGGATTTCGCACTTCCCGGCCATCAGTACAGAGAGAGCAGAATCCCTGTGACATTGTGAGTGTGGTCACACGGTTTCACAAGGTCCTGTAGCTTAGCTCTGCCGTTCACTTAAACTGTGTGACAGATCAGCCCAAAGACACAGTGTGAACCGTCCTTGTGCTAAATCATATTTCTGTGACTTTCTAGTTGACATTTTGCAGGTGAGGATTTCTCTCTCTCTCTCTCTTACTTAACAAAAATAAACCTTTGGTTTCTATTCGTTTAGATTAAAAACAAGTAATTCCCCCCTCTCCCCCCCCCACCACACACACACACACACACACACACACATGTGTGTGAGGTTTTGGGGGAGCATTTTAAAGCCAACTTACACATCAGCGATTTTTTTTCCCCAATGTAAAATTAGCTGACTAGCTAACTAACTAACTAGCTAGCTAACTAACTATCATGTGCGACATGACAGATAGACATGCTAACTGGGAAACCGAGCTGTTATAACCGATCTCCCCCCCCCCCACCCCAACAAAAAAAAAACCTGCTTAGAATCACGTTGTCACAGTTTCAGGCTGTGTGTTTGCATGTCTCACGATGGAATAAAAAAGGCAACTTTTATAAGGACAGACGTGCCCACATGTTTGTTTGCTGAGAGGTCTTACAGTTTCGGTATTGCTGTGAGATTGATATCCTTTTGTCTGAAAGGAATCTCTCTCTCTCTCTCTCTTCTCGGTGTGTTGGTGTCTCTCTGTTTCTCTCTCAAGACTGCGAAGGAAGCTTCAGTGGGGCTCAACCAGGAATCGTTAGGGCGAGGGAAATTATAACAGGGGGGGAAAAAAAAACCACGCGGCATAATAACAGCGAGTGCCTATAAATAAAAATATATAAGTGTTTCTGTAACAGCTGGGTGGAGAAAGAGGGAGAGGAAGAGAGAGAGAAAGAGAGAGAGAAGGAGACTGGGAACATAAAAGTAACAGCTCCCAAGTGAAACCTGGCTCAGTAATTATAATTTATTACAAAGCGTTAATTATTGTCCTTGTTTTAATAATATCATGATTTATTCAACCGCTTTTTTTTTATTGATTATGTTTTATGTAAGCCTTCAAGCCCCCCCCCCCCCCCACCCCCACCACATCCCACACAAAACTCGCTCAGTCGCTTTGCTCTGCCGAGAAATGGCCACATAATTCAAGGTACATTTGGAG